ACAGCAACCTCAAACTCTTGGGCTTAAGCAATTCTCTTACCTCAGCCTCCCAGGCAGCTGGGACTACAGGCGCCCGCCACAATACTCAGCTATTTTTTTGTTGCAGTTGTCATTGTTGTTTAGCAGGCCCAGGCTGGGCTCGAACCTGCCAGCCTCAGTGCCATAATCACTGTGCTATGGGCGCTGAGCCATTCCTGACTAATTTTTATTCTTAGTAGAGACAAAGTCTCTCTTGCTAAGGCTGGTCCTCTTGTCTCAGTCTCCCAGAGAGCTAGGATTGCAGGCATGAGCCATCTCTCCCAGCCCAGCTAGTGCGTTTTCCATTACCCTGAACATAGCACTGAGAAATATAAGCAAAAGTCAAACACTCAACAGAAACCTCTCCTTCAGCTGGGGTGGGGGGGATGGGGGTGGGTGGAGTGGAGGTGAGAGGGAGGGCGGAGGGTAGGATTCGGAGAAGGGTCTTAGATACTAGCTGAGAAGTTCTTAAGGTTTTGTGTATATTGGTTGAAGGAAATAGCATTGTTTAAGGAGTTAGACATTGTGGTTTCAGCTCATTTTAAGAAACCATGGTGAGCTGCCTCTGTTTTCCTAAGGCCATGTTTTGGGGAAACTGAAGTAAAAATGATCAAGATCTGTAACTTACTTCAGATGGTACAAGAAAAAAAATAGAGAGCAAGAAAGAGAAATGGGAGGGGCACAGGAAGGGCAGAGGACAAAGCCAATGTGAGGAATGACTTAAATATTGTATTTGTGGGCTTAAAACATTTTCAAGATAAAAAGTTGCAGGAAAAAAATTGAGGACACAGAGATTGAAGTAAGTGTAATGATTTTTTGTATAATCCTAAAACCCTTGGACCTGGTGACTCTACCTCTAGGGATTTGTTTTAAGGAAGGATTAAGGTTATCCAAAACATTCAGTAACAAAGATGACATTGTAAACAAATATCTTAATTTAAGGATTACTTAAACATATATCAGTATAATAATACTTAACAACCATTAAAAATCTTGTTGAAAGAGAGAGCTAAACGAGATGTTAGGTGAAAAAAGTAACTTGCAAAATAATATACAAGGTGGATATAAAGTTCATGTGCAATTTAACACATGTGCACATGAACTTTATGTCCACCCTGTACAGGGTATGATCCCATTTTTAAAAACTATACAGAGGTTCAGCGCCTGTAGCTCAACGGCTAGGGTGCCAGCTACATACACCAGAGCTGGCAGGTTTAAACCCAGCCTGGGCCTCCCAAACAACAATGACAACTCCAACCAAAAAATAGCTGGGTGTTGTGGCAGGCGCCTGTAGTCCTAGCTACTTGGGAGACTGAGGCAAGAGAATTGATTTAGCTGAAGAGCTTGAGTTTGCTGTGAGCTGTAACGCCATGGCACTCAACCCAGGGTGTCAAAGTGAGAGTCTGTCTCAAAAAAAACCAAAACAACTATATATATAGAATATATATGCATAAAAAATCTGAAAGATGGGCAGTACCTGTAGCTCAGTGAGACTGTCTCAAAAAAAAAAATCTTGAGTAGGAATGGGGAGGGAGAATCTGGAAGGATTTATCTTTTAGTTGACATGATAATGAATAATTTTACTTTTTTTCTTTTTATCTACCTATATTTACTAGTTTTTGTGGAATTCAGTGTGCATTGCTTATATATGATTTTTTTTGGGGGGGGCAGTTTTTGGCTGGGGCTGGGTTTGAACCTGCCACTTCTGGCATATGGGGCCGTGCCCTACTCCTTTGAGCCACAGGAGCTGCCCGATTTTTTTTTTTTTTTTAAGAGACAGAGTCTCACTTTCTTCCCTTCAGTAGAGTGCTGTGTCATCACAGCTCACAGCAACCTTCAGCTCTTGGGCTTAGGTGATTCTCTTGCCTCAGCCTCCCAAATAGCTGGGATTACAGACTCCGGCCACAACACCTGACTATTTTTTTTGTTGTTGCAGTTTAGCCAGGGCTAGGTTTGAACCTGCCACCCTTGGTATGTGGGGCCGGGCCCTACTCACTGAGCCACAGGCACCGCCCGATTATTTTTTTTTTTTTTAAACAGAGTCTCACTATGTTGCTCTGGTTAGAGTGCTGTGGTGTCACAGCTCACAGCAACCTCTGACTCTTGGGCTTAAGCGATTCTCTTGCCTCAGCCTACCAAGTAGCTGGGACTACAGGTGCCAGCCACAACACCCAGCTATTTTTTGATTGTAGTTATCATTGTTTGGCAGGCCTGGGCTAGATTTGAATCCAACAGCTCTGGTGTATTTGGCTGGCACCCTTAGCTGATGAGCTACAGGCCCCAAGCCCTTACATATGCTTTTAAAAAGTATTTTGAACAAGGGTGGCACCTGTGCCTCAGCTGCTAGGGCGCTGGCCCCATATACTAAGGGTGGTGGGTTCAAACCAAGCCCCGGCCAAACTGCAACAAAAAAATAGCTGGGCATTGTGGTGGGCACCTGTAATCCCAACTACTTAGGAGGCTGAGGCAAGAGAATTGCCTAAGCCCAGGAGTTGGAGGGTGCTGCAAGCTGTGTGACTCCATGGCACTCTACGGAGGGCAATAAAGTGAGACTCTGTCTCTTAAAAAAAAATATTGGCTCCGCGCCTGTGGCTCAAGAGGCTAAGGCGCCAGCCACATACACCTAAGGAGGTGGGTTCGAATCCCCAGCCCGGGCCTGCCAAACAACAATGATGGCTGCAACCAAAAAATGGCCAGGCGTTGTGGCGGGTGCCTGTAGTCCCACCTACTTGGGAGGCTGAGGCAGGAGACTCACTTGAGCCCAGGAGTTGGAGGTTGCTGTGAGTGTGATGCCATGGCACTCTACCCAGGGGGATAGCTTGAGGCTCCGCCTTAAAAAAGAAAAAAAAAAAAGTATTTTGAACAGGGCAATTATAAAAATTGGAGGAGAAATCACTTTTGATTAGGCTATAGCTTTTGTGACAGCCAGAAACAACCAAACAGACAGATGTATGATATGCACTTTTTATATTTCAAATGATGACCTATTATATGATGAAAATGTAATAGCACTGCTAACAAATCCCTAAACTTTACTTAGAACCCATGATTTGTCTCTGTTTCTCTGGTGAAAGATTGTCAAACTGGTGAGATGCTATGGAGCTGATGAGTTGTTACAAAATCTCTTGATTACCTCCTCTATTCCCAAAGTCCATTTGGTGGGTGAACAATGTATTTTCATATCACAACCCTGGAACAGACAGAATACTGCTACCCCCTAGACAATAACCTGTCTTACCTTGGCAATTTGCTGAAATTTACTAAAATTGCAAACTGTATGAAAATCCACTCTAAAATCTTGGCATGTCATTTTTATTTGACCTAGTGTGTTTCACCTGTTGGAGTTAATAACTATGACACCTGGCTTGGTGCCTCTAGCTCGGCAGCTAGGGCACCAGCTACATACACTGGGGCTGGTGGGTTTGAACCTGGCCCAGGCCTGCCAAACAACAAGAACAAATAGCTGGGCATTGTGGCAGGCACCTGTAGTCTCAGCTATTTGGGAGGCTGAGGACAGAGAATCTTAGGGCTTAAGCGTAAGCCCAAGAGTTTGAGGTTGCTGTGAGCTGTGACGCCATGGCACACTACCAAGGGTGACACAGTGAGACTCTGTCTCAAAAAAAAACAAAACAAATAACTTATTCAAAAAAAAAAAAAAGACACTTACTCTGTCTACCTCTCATGATTGTTGCAAAACTAGGTATGTGACGAAGACTTATTCTCCACCCTTAAATCTCCTGCATGGTGGTTTTATTCATAATCTCCAAAAATTAGAGATAACCCACCTGACCCTTAACTGGCGAGTGTATAAACAAATACTGATATATCCATAATCCACACAATATAATACAACTCACCTGTAAAAAGGAAGAGACTACTAATGATGGCAGCAACATGGTTGAATCTCAGCAGCATTTTGCTAATAAAAGAATCCCAACCCCAAAGACTACACATAAGCAGTCCCTGGGTTATGATGAGACGGCTTCTGTAGGTTTATTCTTAAGTTGAAGTTGTATGTAAGTCGGAACAGGTACATTTACCTATTGCCTGTAATAGCTTCCGTTCATAAATGCAAGTTGTATGTAGGTCAGATACTTGTAACTTGAGGACTTATCTGTAATAGCCTCTGTAAGTAAGAGTTGTATATGATCAGATATTTGTAACTTGGGGACTGCCTGTACTATATGATTTCATTTTGTATAGCACTGTGGAAAAGGTAAAACAATAGGGACAAAAAATAGGTCACTAGCTATAGAGGCACTGGGATGGATTGTTTGGGGTGGCTAATGGACCTGTTCTGTATCTTCATTAGACACTAACAAGAATAAATTTTACCGTATGTGAATCATGTCCTAATCTAAAAGAAAATCTTCTCAGGCTTTCAGGTTAATTCCTTGGTGGTGGTTAAAATTCCCAGGTGTGTGACTCATAGGACAATGATATATTAGATATATTAGGTTTCCTGGAGTAGGAGAGGATGGTAGTAGGGCATGGAACTCTTATCAGCTAACCCAGGTGAAATATCTCTTTGCAGGGATTTTGTCAGGGAGAAAAAGTACCGGACAGAGGCTGAGGTGTTTGGGTGGAGCTTTGTGTTTGAGGACTTAGTCTCCAGTGAGCTAAGAAACAAAGTGACCCAGCAAATGAAGGTGAGAGAACCTGGCCTTAAATGGGAGTGGGACTTGGACGGAGCATCCTATTGCCATATGGGGTCACTTGGGCCACAGTGGACAAGTAGACGTGAGACCTGGAGGCAGAAAGAAGCAAGACAAGCCCACCCTGGAAGAATCAGATGAACACACATTCCTAGGAAGTTAACCCTTAGCTAGTTCTTGCATTGAGAGACTGATGATGATCTTTGTCAAAACAGGGCTCAAAACACTTTTTGAACCAGCAAAAAAGTTTAGCACAATGTCTAGTATGGGTGGTGAGATGTCATTCTTCAAAGATTCCAGCCATAGACTTACTCTGACCACTTGAGCCTCAGTTTGAAGTTTCTGTCCCGCCTCCTGTAGCTCAGTGAGGAAGGTGCCCTTGCTGGGCCAGTGCATCTTGTAGTCCTATTTCTTCTCTTTTGCAGTCTGTTCTCTGGTGGCTTCCAGTGGAAAAGGCATTTTGGAGGCAGGTAAGAGTTCATTCTTCTGCCTCGTTTCTACCCCTGCCTACTCCTCTTCTCAAAGTCTGGCTTCCTTATACCTCTTGCACATCTAGGAACACTGAGTTTAAAGGATGATAGGGGAATTTCAGGGAAATAGCCAATCAGTCCTGTTTCCTTTCCCCTAATTTTTTCCCTTGTCATCCTATTTCTCCCTTCAGTTTCATGTAGTCTCTTCTGACTCTGAACACTCTTCACTTACCAGGCTATCTCTTCCAACTTCCTTGCTCTGTCCAGTGGTAAAAGCTGAAATCAGGAACCCTAAGCCTAGTCTTTCTCAGCCTTTCCTGAGCTCCTAGAAGCCTGTCTCACTACATCCTGGCTGTTAGCCTGCAGGTCCTGGCTCTGGCATCCGAGAGAGACTGGAACTCCCAGTGGTTCATGTGAGCTGGAATGATGCTCGTGCCTACTGTGCTTGGCGGGGGAAACGACTACCCACCGAGGAAGAGTGGGAGTTTGCTGCCCGAGGGGGCTTGAAGGGTATACAGATATCAAGGCAATTTACCTTTCTTCTTTCCATCCCACCCTCCATGGGGGCCTTCACAGGGAGGGAAGGGTCTATGTTTCCTGGATTAATGCTTATTAAGATATCTATGGTGAAAGACCAGTTGATTTGAGAGTTCTTTTTTGTTTTCTTTTTTTCACACAGGGCTGTTTTCTCTCACCCTAGGCTGGAGTGCAGTGGCATGATCACAGCTGCTCACTGCAGCCTTGAACTCTGAGCTCCAGTGATCCTCCTACCTTAGCCTCCAAAGTAGCTGAGACTACAGGTGTGTACCACCACACCTGGCTCATTTTTTTTCAGTAGAGTAGAGCATCTTACTATGTAGTAATCCAGGCCAGTCTCAAATTCCTGGCGACAGTGATCTTCCCACCTTGGCCTTCCAGAGTGCTAAGGTTACAGACATGAGTCATTGCACTTGACCTTTTTTTCATTTTTAATAACATCTCAGACCAATACATCTATAAAATACCATAAAAATTAGTAACTGGAAAAGTGAACTGAAAAAACAGACATAAAATATTTTATTGTTGGAGATTCCACATGTTTGTTACATTTCAATGAATATAATCAGAAAAACTTAGCATAGGGAAAAAGAAGTACTACCAAAACTACACATTTCTTCCATATAGTGCAGGGATTAATATAAAAAGTCACTGTATACTAATAACTATCATTCTATAATCCTAACTGCACAAAAAGTTATGAGGCCAGGTAAGGTGGTGCATGCCTATGGTGTCAGCTTCTGGGGAGGCTGAGGTAGGAGGATCATTCAAGCTCAGGAGTTCAAGGCTGCAGTGAGCGATTATCAGGCCACTTCACTCCAGGCTAGGGCAACAGATCAAGACCTGTCTCTAAGAAAAAAAAAAGAGGCTATGAGAATGAAAATAAATTCCCTACACTATATACCTCTGCACACTCTTTGAATGAACTGGTGTTTGATTGTGGATACATCAGTAATCAAAGTATGACAAATGAGATTGCTTCTTGATTGTTCATTTATCCAATCTAAGTCCAGTTGACACATTTCTCGATGTTTACTCAATTTCTGTATTTATCTCCACATGGGCTGGGAACAGATAGTTTACAGACTGGCACTGGTCCCAGAACCACACTTAGAATTGCACTGCCCTGGAGCAAATTAGGAAGTCAGAGACTCTAATGAAATCTAGTGAAGTAGGGGATGGGCATGGGGAAATAAAAGTAAGCTCACTCTTTTTTTCTCATCATCTTTTAACTTCCTTTGGTTCCATCACTCTTTCTGCCCTTTTTCTTCTCCAACTCTTCACCTCTCCCTCCTCTGCTATCTTCTTATCCTCCTGACAGGTCAGATTTACCCCTGGGGGAACCGGTTCCAGCCAAACCGCACCAACCTGTGGCAGGTAAGACCTGTGTCTCCTTAGACCAAGCATTGATTGAGACTTGCCATAAGCCAGGCACTGTATAAGGCTGTGGGATTCAGAGGGCTCTGTGTTCTAATGGTACTGATAAACTGGCAAAGCAAAGGAGAACATGGTAAATACTGTATATTAAAGATTTGCAGAGTAGGGGAGGAAATCACTGCCTGAGGGTGCTGGGGATTACTTTTAGAGAGGGTGACATTTGAGCTGATTGAATAGAAGTTTGTCAAGTGTAAAATAAAAAAAGGGGCATTCCGACCATAGGAAACAGCACAAGTGCTGGTTTTGCTCATTTATCCAATCTGAGTCCAGTTAACACATTTCTCAATGCTGACTCAATTTCTGTACTTACCTCGACATGAACTGGTAACAGATAGTTTGTAGACTGGCACTGGTCCACCCTGTCAGAGATGTGACATGTCCAGGGAGGCTGGAGCACAGAGAAATGGGGATGAAGGAGATGAAGTAGAGAGTGGGCTGGGCGAAGTTTATGGAGGACCATGTGTGCCAAGCAAAGGTTTTAGATTTTACCCTCCAGGCAGTGAAGAGCTAAACAGGGGTTTTTTGTTTGTTTCTGTTTTTTTGAGACAGAGTCCCACTACGTCGTCCTGGGTAGAGTGCCATGGCATCACAGCTCACAGCAACCTCAAACTCTTGGGCTCAAGTGATTCTCCTGCCTCAGCCTCCCAAGTAGCTGGGACTGCCAGTGCCCACCACAATGCCCGGCTATTCTTTTGTTGCAATTGTCATTGTTGTTTAGCTGACCCAGGCCAGGCTCGAACCCGCCAGCCCTGGTGCCTCCTAAGACAGGGTTTTAATGGGAGTAACAGTATGACGTTGATGTGCAGGGATGCTAGTTGTTGCTGATTCGCACAGGACCAGATGAAGTCTGGCTGCAGTTATGGCAAGGGTCTTTGAATTTGAGGCTGTGGCAGTGGTCCCAGGGATTATCAACACTCAAACTGGAAGTGGAATCAAAAGAGGAAGCCAAATGTAAGAGGCATGTCTGAGAGGATGGGCAGGCTTTGGTAATTAATCAGAAGTCGGGGTGTAGACAGCATGGTGATGGTACTACCATTATCCAGAATAGGTAACATGCATGTCACGGGTCAGAGGGATAGAACTTGATCAGTTTAGGATCAACTTAGTTTGAAGTGCCTTTGGGACATTTATATGATGAAAAATCACTGGGTAGGGCACCAGCCACATACACTGAGGCTGGCAGGTTCAAACCTAGCTTGGGACAGCTAAACAATAATGACAACTGCCACAAAAAGATAGCCCAGTATCGTGGCAGGCGCCTGTGGTCACAGCTACTTGGGAGGCTGAGACAAGAGAATCGTTTAAGACCAAGAGTTTGAGGTTTCTGTGAGCTGTGATGCCACTGCATTCTACCCAGGGTAACAGTGAGACTCTGTCTCAAAAAAATATATATATATATATAAATAGGAGCCTGAAGTTTAGAACAAAGGTCTGGGTTAGAGAATCCAGCATATCTTGCAGATCTTGGCAAGTATGAAATACCCTGGGGAGACTCTATAGAGGGAGGGATAGCACAGCTTTAGCATTGAAAAGGGCCTAAGGGTTAGGCTGACCTATTTTAGACATCATTGGCTTAGAATCAGAGCTTTGCAGAAAGACAAATCTGACTTATTCTGATCTTTGGTAACTATTAATGTTTTGAGGTAGCTGGGACTGCAGGTCTATGGTTGGTTTTTAAATGGAGGCAGCACCTGCCTGACAAGGCTGTGAAGATTAAATTAAAAGAGATAAATGAAACTGACCTAGCACATAGTACTGTTGAGTGTATTTTAACCTTTTCATCTTCCATTTTGTAAGAGTAGCCTCTATAGAGTGGTGGCAGCTGAACACCAGTTCTAATGAGAACAACCATGAATCAGTTAAACAAATTGCATCAGCAAATGTAGGTTACTTTTTGAAGAATTTTGGCGGTTAAGAGCAGGAGATAGGGAAGGTGGAGTCAGGGCAGATGAGGAGGAGTTCATTCTGTTGGTGCTAAGTGGGGAAAGAGATGTTGTCTTCCTGAGAGCCAGGCAGGGCTAGGACCCCCGTGCTCAGACAGGGGGTGCAAGACAGAGGAGGAGAGAGCTCTCTTTTCAAGGCATCATGGCTTGTGGGGTTTGAGGCAGAGGTGAGGAAGTTGCTGAGAGTGAAGGAAGCAGGAATGGGATGGGCTTGACATGGACCACCATGGGCACAGGAGAAACACTCTTCCTAATCCAACTGGGGCATCCTGTTTGGGAGTTCAGGATAGGACCTCCCCTGCTCCATGCCCTCCTCCCTCCACATGATACAGCAAGATGACCTTGGTTTTCCTCTGTTTAGGCAGAGACCTGCCTTATGACAGGATGGTAAATCCTTTAGTCTTTATTTCTCCCACCAGGGAAAGTTCCCCAAGGGTGACAAAGCTGAGGATGGCTTCCATGGAGTCTCCCCAGTGAATGCCTTCCCTCCACAGAATAACTATGGTAAGATTTCTCATCAGGTTGCTGTCAGTGCTTGGTGGGATCATTCTGTCTGATAGATGAGGCAGAGAGAAACACCTCTTTCTACCCCAAATTTGTTTGGGCATTGTATGGGGAGGAGGGGTGGTTTGGTGGTTCCTAGCTTTGAACTAACCCACTTGTTGTGTTATAGGCCTCTATGACCTCCTGGGCAATGTGTGGGAGTGGACAGCATCGCCATACAAGGCTGCTGGCCAGGACATGCGTGTCCTTCGCGGGGCATCCTGGATCGATACAGCTGATGGCTCTGCCAATCACCGAGCCCGGGTCACCACCAGGTAAGGGGCTTGGTCCCAGGGAATGTACATCTTAGTAGCAGGGGCTGCAGGTCTAGATCCTGGGCTTCTAGAGCACAGGCAGCACCAGAGCTGATGTTGGTGCTGTGTCCACCAAGAGATGTGCGCACAGAAAAGAAAGCAAGTGTTGTTTGCTGTGAAAAGCACAAAGGCCTAAGATAACTTGTAACTTTTCCCTGCCAGCTCTCTGTACCAAAGGAGACTATGTGGTCAGCATCTTAATTATATGGGTTTCTCCTCTTGTCCTCACAACTAGGTGGGCAGGGGAGTGGAATGTCCACATCAATAGGTCATTGCTGGTGGTCATGGAATTATTGACTCTTCAAATTGCTGGACACACAATTTGAAAAACATTGACACAAAAATCAATGTTTTATAATCAAGGAAAAAAGGCTCAGGGAGGGGCTGAGAACTGCTCATTTCACACGATGGTTAATGGTGGCACCTGAATAGTGTAGAATCCTTGTCTCCTGAGTTTCTTTCTAGGACTCTTTCTACTTCATTCGTCTGTAGATTGAATTTTGTTGATCTCTGCAACTCCTTCCACCCCTGGATTCCTTGAAGACTGTAGAGAGGCCTCTGTTTCTATGGCCTCTGGGTATCAGAGTTGCTAATGTTTCTGTGACGCATTGAAACCCCTGAATTTTCCTTATGTCCATTTTCAGGACAACTTAGTGTGAGAAACTGGATAGAACCACTGAAGCAATGGTTAGTCTTGGAGAAGACATTTCTATTTTTCTAGTATCTGATTCCAGGTTTGAAAAATGGTGACTATAGGCCAGCCATGGTGACTCACGCCTGTAATCCCAGCACTTTGGGAGGCAAAGGCAGGTGAATAGCTTGAGCCCAAGAGTTCAAGACCAGCCTGGGCAAGAGTGAGATCCCCATCTCTAAAAAATAGGCAAAGGTTGTGGTGGGCACTTGTAGTTTCAGCTGCTCAGGAGGCTGAGGCAAGAGAATTGCTTAAGCCCAAGAGTTTGAGGTTGCTATGAGCTGTGATGCCATGGCACTCTACTGAGGGCGACAAAGTAAGACTGTCTCCAAAATAAATAAATAACAATAAAATAAAATAAAATAAAATAAAATTGGTGAATGTATCCTGCCTTCCAGAGTAGCAGAACAGTTGGGAAATGGTAAATGAAGGCATATCGGTAAAAGTTCTTTGAAAAATATGAGATGCTGATTAGTGCTGAGTTATTCTAAACCCTAATAGTAGAAGTTATCAATCACTGTCTTTCCCACCCTCCAGTGTAGCCTCTCAGGGCCACTCTCACTTCCCCCACCCTGTCCTTTTCTTATCCCCTTGCCCCAGGAGTGGCACTCACCCAGGTCCTGCCCTCACACCAGGTTTCTTTGCAGACCATACCCTCCCCAGTTCTCAGGCATACCAGACCACAGCAGGCCTTAGGGGGCTGGGCATGGAAGTTGGCTTAGTCCCCAGGTTCCTTTGTCAAGGAATGTTCACTTGTTTTCCCTTTCTCTGGTGGCAGGATGGGCAATACTCCAGATTCAGCCTCAGACAACCTGGGCTTCCGCTGTGCTTCCAGTACAGGCCGATCACCTGAGGAGCTGTGAGCAGCCATGCACAGGGAAGGAGAGTCCTCCATGGTACCGGTATCTTTCCCTGGCCATATCCCAAACACAGCTAGACTTCAAGCTCTTCAACTTCAGCCTCAAAAAAGAATTCCTTCCTTGTCTCCTGTCCATCTGTGGCAGGTGCCTCTCCCTGGGGCAGAAAAGGACTCTAACCCACAGAGGAGGGCTGCCACTGTCTCTTGGAGAAGGGGACCAGCTTATTGACTGTGGCTGGGAGCTGGGTGTGTCTCTTAGAGGTCAGGCATTACCCATGCAGGAGCTAAATACATAATTGGAACAGTGTTCTGGAAGGCAGTTAGTTAAAAATTTTTAAATCTATTCTGTCCTACTTGCTCCCTGTCTGATTCCATTGACCTATGGGCGTCCAGCCTCCATCTGATTCTAGAATCTAATATTGTTTCCCCAAGGCAGAATGTGCCCAGTTCTCTTTGTCTCCCCAAAAAATTACTATAGAAGGGAAATGCTTTCTTCATTTGCCTTGCCTGTAGTATTTCATGATCCTCCAAAGAAACTTAATTTCCTTTATGTAAAATGCTGTCATGTGGGCTTTTTATTTATTTATTTATTTATTTATTTTTTGAGACAGAGTCTCAAGCTGTCCCCCTGGCTAGAGTGCTGTGGCATCACAGCTCACAACAACCTCCAACTCCTGGGCTCAAGCAAGTCTTCTGCCTCCGCCTCCCAAGTAGCTGGAACCACAAGTGCCCACCACAACACCTGGCTATTTTTTGGTTGCAGCCGTCATTGTTGTTTGGCGGGCCTGGGCTGGATTTGAACCTGCCACCATAGGTGTATGTGGCTGGCGCCTTAGCCACTTGAGCCACAGGTGCTGAGCCCATGTGGGCTTTTTAAAGCACAACATCAATCTTAAAGGGTCTGGGAGAACTGAATGATTTACCAGGTGAAAATGTGCATTGTGGGAGTCACAAAGCAAATAATACTCCAAAAGACTGATATCAAAAGCTTCCCCTTCTGTCATTAATTATGTAAGGGCATCCATATGCTTCTAAAAACATGTCCTTGAAGAGTAACCTGCTCCCGTGATGTCACTGGATGTTATGAGTTTAGTAAAATCTCCTGTGATTATGTATCTCAAACATTTCAGTATCTTTTTTTTTTTTTTCTGAGACAGAGTATTACTATGTCACCCTCGGTAGAGTGCTATGGTATCACAGCTCACAGCAGCCTCCAACTCTTAGGCTTAAGCAATTCTCTTGCCTCAGCTTCCCATGTAGTTGGGACTAGAGGCGCCCACCACAATGCCTGGCGTTTTTTTTTTGTTTGTTTGTTTGTTTTTGTAATTGTCATTGTTTTTTTGTGGGCCTGGGCTGGGTTCAAACCCGCCAGCCTCAGTGTATGTGGCTGGTGCCCTAGCTGCTGAGCTACAGGCGCCAAGCCACATTTCAGTATCTTTTATCCTCACCCAGAGACCCTAAGGGAAGAGGGCCTCAGGGGAAGAGAGTAACTCAGAGCCTCCCATAAACAGAAACTGAGATGGTAGCACTACTGGAAAGTGGAGAAGCAGGAGGGAACCACATCTGCTCCACCCCACGCTGCAGTGGCCTGCCCCAGTCTGCATTTATTGCCCTATGGTAGGAATACCTCTCCTGTGCAGAGCCTTTGAGAGGGGATTGTAGCCTCCATTCCAGGGGTTCCTGGCCTGGAACAAGTGCTCTTTTGCACAGAGGCCTGCACACAGTCTCACTCCTTTGACTTATATTTCTGTGGTTTCCCCCTTTACCTGTCATCCCAGCCCTATCCCACCTGCCAGCCCCTCAGAAGTCCTCTTCAGCCAGGGAGAGGAGCACAGCCTTGGGTGTGTTCTCAAAGAGGGCAGCCCGGTTCTGCTGCTGCCCCTTCTTCACCCAGTGGCCATAAATTCGGAAAGCATAGGCGTCGATGAGTCGGCGCAGAGGCCGAAGGGCGTACGGGTCACGGATGACGATCTCCCTTGTCACAGGCTTCATCCGGCGATACTGATAGTAGATCCGCACTGAAGCTAGCACTGTCAGGGCAATCACCTACATAGGGCCGGGATGGGGAACCCTGAACTGGCAGCCCCCATCTCCTGCAGCACAGAGGAGCATTGAGCTTTTTGCTACAAAGACTTAGACAGCTTCTGCCAGGCCCTTCCTTGTGTCCACCCATCTCCACCCTGCCAGCATGCACAGGGACTTAGGCCAGTGGAGCCAGTCAGCTGACGCCTGCCTTCTCTGAAGCAAGAAGTTGAACTGGAACCATTACAGGGTGAGTGGGAGTGGAAGGGCAAGTGCTCTGGAAACCCCAGAGGGATGTCAGGAACCCTGGTGGGGAGAGCAAGGGGGCTTGCAGACCTAGACTTAGGGAGCCAGTAGCAACCGCCCCAGGCCTGGGTCAAGGGGAGCTTCGGTACCTTGAATTTCCCCCGGGGGCTGAAGTGACGCACTTCTTCCACTGCATACTGCTGGAAGAAGGGATGTGCCAAGGCCTCTTCTGCTGTATAGCGGTTCTGGGGGTTCACCACCAAGAAGCGAGAGACCTGAGAGGATAGGAGAGGGGAAAGGAGACATCAAGGTCCCCCCCAACATTTCAGGAAACGTGGGGTCTCTCCTGGTGGGCTCTTCCATACTGGGGCACAGTATACTCCCTCCCCTCCATGGACCTTTGCCCTCATCCTAGTCCAGGAGCCAGTAGGCCTGCCTCTCACCAGGTCCTTCACGGTGTCTGAGTAATCGTCCCACTCAGGTGAGCCAAACTGGTAGTTGCCACTCATGATCATCCTCAACATCAGCATCTGCTTCCGGTGCCAGAAGGGTGGGGAGCCGGCCAGCAGGGTGTACATGATGACGCCCGTACTCCACCTGGGGCATTAGGGACACTGACCACACCAGCATCAGGGACCAGCTGTAGTTTCCGCTGTTCCCTCCCTCTCCAGCCATGTGGTCTTGCCAAAGGTTCACCTCCCTCCTTTTTCCCTCCTTCCAACAACACACTCACATGTCCACTTCCTTCCCATAGCCTGGATGGTCATCATTCATGGAGCACTCAATGATCTCAGGGGCCAGATAACTGGGGGTCCCACAAACCTCTAAAGGAACAGGTACCATCAGGACAAGTCAGCCTGGGGCACTCAGAAGAGGAAGCCCCAAAGAACAGATGGGATAGGAATGGTGCATGGGCTGGGACTCTCCAAACACCAGCCAACTGCAGGGCCAAGGGTAGGGCCAGGGTACTGGCTCATAGGGCCACTGTTGGGGCCCATTGTTCCCCTGGTCACTTCTAGCCATCTTGGCCATTCATTACTGGGAAGAGGACTTACCTGAAGAGAAACCCAGCCCCTCTTCCAGTAACAATTTTTGCATAAATGATAGGATTTTTGTTTTTTTTGAGACAGTCTCACTTTGTTGCCCACTTGGTAGAGTGCTGTGGTGTCATAGCTCATAGCAACCTCAAACTGTTGGGCTTGCCTCCCAGGTACCTGGAACTACAGGCACCTGCCACAACGCCTGGCTATTTTTAGAGACAAGGTCTTGCTTGTAACTCAGGCTGGTCTTGAACTCCCGAGCTCAGGCAATCCAAGTGCCTCAGCCTAACAAGTGCTGGGATTACAGGTGTGAGCCACTGTGCCCAGCCCTAAATGGTAGGATTTTTGTTCTGGGGAAAAATTAAGGGAGAAACCTCTGTTCCTGAGAGAACTGATGAGAGCCTGAGCTCTTGACATGGGCCAAACCCTTGTTCACAGACCTCGCAGCTTCTCTCCTGGCTCCAGCTGGCAGGAAAAGCCAAAGTCTGTGAGCTTGATGTTCATGTTGTCATCCAGGAGGATGTTCTCAGGCTTCAGGTCCCGATGCACAATGTTGAGTTTGTGTAAGGTACAGATCACCTCCAGCAGGGCTCTCATGATCTTCCTGAGGTAGGGGGCAGACATATGTTACTCTCCCACTCTGTGGATCAAGTAATAGGCAGGGAGTCAGCCACACAGAAGGTGAGGGAGGACTCAGGACAAGCTGGACTAGTCCAGACTGCCCGGGAGGGAAGGAGGCCAGCAAAGCCAGTGGCACGCACTCCATGACTCAGCCCGTAGCAGTAGGACATAGGGAGAAGACTGGAGAGAGGGCAAATGGAGCCTTACCTAGTCTCCTTCTCACTCAAGGTGACTTTCTCAGTGAGGTAGTCAAAGAGCTCCCCTCTCTTCATCCTGTGGGAACAGGACGTGTAGCTAGATTGATCCCAAGACCACCACCTCTCCTCCTCTTCCTACTCCCCAAGAGTAATCTCCCGCCCCCACCCTTCTGACACTGGAAGCAGATGCTGATGCTCCCGCAAGCACAGTAGGTTGTGGTCTGGGAGGGGAGAACTCGGGAGGAAATAGAGAACTCTGGGGAGACTGGAAAGAAGAACAAAGGAGGCTGGAGAGAGGGTGAGAATCCCTGGGTCTGTGCAGTGACATCACAGGCTGGGTCTGTCAGGGTCTAGGGGATCCAAAAGGGGACCCTGAGCTACTTTCCCAGGGAACAAATGGAAAGAATTAGCTATGACAAGCAAGCATTGGAAGAGCAAAGTTTGTTCTTTGTAGGATTAAGAATTGTGGTTCAGTCTTCTCCTTAAGATGATCTAGAAAGAGGTCTCTGTTGGAACAATCCAGTTAATTCTTTGGAGGGCTCCTCAGGGCAAAATTAAAAATAGCTATCCTATTTTTAATAGGGTACCCTAAGCAACTTCTTCAAAGGTTAAAGACATCTGAGCTGCCCCCATGACTGTACAGGCCAGTACAGCTGATCAGGGTTTGCTGGTCAAGTCTGGAGGGGTCCTAGGAAAGTCTCCCTTGGCTAGGTAGAGAAATGTGTATCTCCTGCCCCCCTCCCCTCCACTGGGATTCCTAGAGCAAAAGGGGAGGAGAATGGAGGTAGAAGATTTCCAGCCAGCTTCCTGAAGAGGCATGACAAGTCCTTGGTTTGGGCTGGTGGGGTAAAGAGGGGGCCCTGTTTGAGAAGACACCTGGAATTTATAGAGGTAAATTTACTGACCCTTGTTTTATACAGTAACTGTACTGTATTCCTGAAGGGCAATGTGTGAATCTAGTTTTCGTCATTCTAGTTCTTATGAAAGGTACTAGAAGAATTTGCTATTAGCAGCAGCAGAACAAAGATTTGCCGGGGAACACCAGGAACCGTGCAAGCTCCTGCATTCCTGGAGCTAACAGTCCAATTGCACACACATGCCAAGTTAAACTGCATCTCAAAGTCAGATAAAACTGTACATACTCAATACAGCTACAGTATGAAATGTTCCAGTGATACAATATCTACTTAATTTCCAGGGCTGTATATCCAGCCCCTAAATAGCTGTTCTGGGCGGAAATCAAGACACCTCTACAATGATTCGTGTCACAGCAGAGATTTACGTTCTGCAGTGAGAATTCAATAGGGAGGGGCACAGATGCTGAAGAGCTCCCTTCCCTGGGAACATGTCTAATAAAAATGATGTTAAGTCTTGAACACACAGTCCACAGAGCACTTTGTATCACTCGCATCTGATGCTTAGCGATAAGGAGCTCATCATGCTAACCCTGTTGGCGCAGAAGCAGAGAATGATGACAAAGATGATGATATCAATGTTTGGACTATACCCTAAGTGCAGTTCTGACCACTTGCCTCTCCGCCTGATACTGCTGACCTCTCCCGTCCACTCTGGCCTCCTTACACTCATCCCCAGAGAGCCAGTGGGATCTTGGTGCGAAGTAAATCAGATCCCACCTCCCTCCCTCCCTCTCTGGGCCCTCCAAACTCTTTACCATGACTAAAATGCCTGCAGAATCTGGTCTTTGGTACTGTCCCACCTTAAATCCTGCCAGTCTCCACAAGCTCATTCCACCTTCTCTGTCCCCACCCCTGGCTTCCTTCTCTTGAACATGCCAACCATCTAGCTGTCCAAACCTATGATAACATACCTTAGTTTATAAATCAGGCACACTGAACAATTAAAAGCAATACTTAAATAGAACAATAATAGTATGCTGTAATAAAAATTATGCAAATGTGGTGTCTCTCCCTCTGTCAAAACATCTCACTGTGCTGTACTCACCTGTTTTCAAACAATGATGGATGATGGGAACTGAAACCTCAGAAAGAGAAACTGCAGATAAGAGGGGACTGTAGTACATGTACATAACTGTACGTGTATGTAACTGTCCCTGTATGGTCCATGTGGTTACAGGCATGTACATAACTGCAAGTCAGGGGCCTTGTGTGTCTTTTCATTGCTGTATCCTCAGGGCCCGGAATAAACATCAAATGACCCACCATCATCATTGTCACTGAAGTTAATAGTTACTAGCATTTATATTGTGCCATTCACTGTGCTATTATTACTTCCATAACAGCAGTGAGAAAACTGATACTCAAAATTGATCCAACCCATAATTGGTGGGCCCAGGTTTCCAAAGCTGGCAGCCTGAGGCCAGGGCTTGACCTGCCTAATGCATCTGTGATCCTACTTGGCATCCACAGTGAGGGGTTGGCTGGGTGGGGGACCACAGAGGGAGGTTCTTCAAGAGACCCCAGGCTGTGCCTGGCTCTGGGGCTGGGTACTTACAGGTCAAACACCAAGAAGAAGAAAGTGTTGGTCTCATAAGTGTCCTTCAGCTGTACTGAAATGGAAATAACTAGCTGGTCTCGGGTAGCCGGGGCAGCTGGGGACAGGGGCATGGGGACTGAGGCTGCTGTGGGCTAACTGTCAAAGCTGAGGGGCGGAATCAGGATGTTACCCAAAGAAAGTTAATCATGGGTGTGGGCTGTCTGGGGATTTCAAACTCCCATTCCCCTGCCCGAACCCATCCCTAGCTGGGAACCCTTTCTGTCCCAGCAGTGAGGATAGAACTGGGAACTTTGAGCTTCAGGGCACAAGAGATGCTCCAGATGGCTCTGGCTGGCTCTAGCTGGCTGTATGGTGGGGCCACACTCCCAGAGTTGGGTCACCAGGGCAGAATCATGGTGGCTTGGGGCCCTCCTGTGGCTTGGGCCATCACTCACTGATGTTGGGGAGCCCTGAGACCTTGCGCAGAATGTCCACCTCCTTCAGCGTGGCTTCCCGCAGCTCCTGTGCCTCCTCGGAGCTAAAGCTGCCCCCACCGGTCACGTCGATGATCTTCACGGCATATTCCTGGCACGTGGGCTTGTGGATGCAGCGTCTGACCACACTGCTAACGCCCCTGGGGGTGCAGAGGACAGATGGCTTCAGAGGCCCCCCACCCCAGGGGAATCCCAGGTCCAGGCCACAGCAGAGATGTTCTGCCCTTGTTATGTGACTTACATGTTCCTCTAACTCCCTTAGAACTTTTGGGGACAGTGGATGATGAAATAAAGACTCAAGAGATGTGATTTGCCCAGAGTTGATGAGTGACTAGCCTGGTCTCAGGCTTCCTAATGCCTAGCTGAGTGCCCTTTCTCAGCACATAGAAAGAAGGGGTACACTCTTCAGGGCCTTGACCTTCCATCTGGCCCCTGATCCCTGACGTGGCCCAGAGCTGGGTTTGGACATGCACCCGGGAATGTTTTGCTAGGAGAGGCCGCTAATCTTATACCCTTCTTGTCTGTCCTGGCTGCAGGAAGGCAGGACTCCAAACCAAGGGATTCTCCAAGTGGACACTGCTTTGGGGATGGAAATGGGTCAGTACTCAGGGTCAAGCAGAGACCACTCCACCCTACAGAGCCTGCTCTTACCTGCCCAGGATCTCCTTGGGCTCATAATTCTCATAAAAGCCCTGTGCGGAGTGGGAGTCGGGCAGTGCCTCATCCCGTGTCATCCTCAGTTCCTCAGAGGGTGACTCCAAGGGGCTCTGACAGGGGAGGAGAAAGAAGGTGTCAGCCCTCCTGACCCAGAGGATGTGCCCTTGGAGGGCTGAGCTGCTGCTCAGACACCTTTATATCTACTAGCCCAAGACTGGCCTGTACTGAATGTTCAAAATAAATGTTAGTGAATTGAAAAAATTCAGCCATGGCTGGGTACAGGGGCTCACATCTGTAATCCCAGCACTCTGGGAGGCCAAGGCAGGTAGATTGCTTGAGCTCAGGAGTTGGAGACCAGCCTGAACGTGAGCGAGACCCTGTCTCTACTAAAAATAGAAAAACTAGCTGGGTGTTGTGGCAGGCATCTGTAGTCCCAGCTACTCAGGAGGCTGAGGCAGGAGGATCACTTGAACCCAAGAATTTGAGGTTGCCATGAGCCATGATGATGCCACAGCACTCTACCCTGGGTGACAGAGT